CTTGAGGCCCTTAAGCTCTGACTTATTTGATGAAGAATAAGCAAATGATGACTATTTTTAAATAACTATTTAAACTTTTGAGATCTAAAATTAGGAATTTTGCCCCCAAAACTTGACATTAAAGCGGGTCCCTAAACATACCCACGGATCCTGAATTAGCCCCGGAACTTGACATTAAACCGGGTCCCCATGCATAAGAGGGTCCAACATTACTCCCAATATATGTTAATAATATACTACAATGCTGCAACTTGGATGGCCGCCCAAGCCTCTCCCCTCTCATTTCGGCATCAAGGGCTTCCAACATGAAGTAGCTGTTTGCCTGGTGCAACTTGTATATCTACATGCGTGCAGACGTGCATATCAGCATAACTTAGGCACAACGTGCTCTAAAACAAGTGCAACGTATAAGATGTTGCAAAGTACCATGACTACAAGAATAGGCCCAGAATGGGCTTCTGCATGAGACTGCGACGATTGGAATCAAGGCGCTTGGGGGGTTCATTCACACACTGCACATCTGCCATTTTTCATCCCGCAAGAATGCTGTAAAAGGTGCATAGCCATCCATGAGGATGTGCCCGTACTCCTTCAGCAGTCCCTGACAGATTTCTGCGAATGATGGCTACCAACGCAGAATTAATTAAGCAAGAAGTTCGTGTTGCGTTGGAAGCCTAGTTTATGTCTTCCTCCATGTGTGGGTTGCCTTTGGTTTGCATGCTTTTCCCTGTCATTTCTGCAACAAGGATGCTAGGGGTCGCCATCCTCATAGCTGCTGTTGTCTGTGCACTCTTGAATACAGTCAAAAGCATCACGAGTGAAGCATTTTAAAGCGGAAAGGAAATAGACCTTTGAAGGTCACCACAGGTGATGCAGGTCTTCCAACATTGTGCAGCCAAGCCTTAAAGTGAATACGTGAGATCCCTAGGTTAGACCGCAACCTGTTAATCTCATCCTTCCACGGGACTTGAAGATTGCTTTCTGAGGCCCCATCTTCAGAGGTTTCCCAGTCGGCATCCGCAAACTTGTCGAGGATCCCTGACTTCCAAAACAGACACTCAACTTACGTGATGGTCTCTAGCGAATGTGCCCTAGTCACATCCTGGTTTTCAGATGTAGGGGAGACAAAGGAATCCATTCGGGACCTGTTCTGCTGCACCCTGCTGATTGCCTTTTAGTAAACAGGCCAGCTTCAGACACCAAGGTCTTTCTTTCTCTCTGAGAGTGCCGCGAGGCAGCCGAATGTACCAATCTACTTACATAGCTTAAAACATGATTTGTTGAAATATCATGAGCAAGTAGGTAGCTGCTGGCATCGAGGTTGTGAATTGCTTTCAGGAAAGACCTGCAAAATTCTGCCTTCACCGAGTGCAAGCTAAACGGACAGCCGAAACTTGCAAGGACAAGCGAGTGCTTCCATGAAAGCCACGTACGAAAAACCTGCCTAAACTTGGTGGCTGTTCGTCACAACTTACCTGCCCCAGAATAATGACCCGATTGCTCACCCTCATCTGGAGAGCTATTTTGCATGGTATCTTCAACTTGAGTGTGCTAGGACTAGGTCATTTGACGGTGACGCAATCACATCTTCAACTGCCAGCTGAAAGCAAGTGGCTCTGGTTGTCCTGCTTGAACATGGTATACCTGGGAAGCCGAGGACGGAACAGACACACGCTTGCAGGTACAAATTAATCTCCAAACTTCAGGAATCATTGTAGCAATCATCATAGGGGTTCGATGGGCCACTTACAGGACAAGCCGCGCCATTAAATACCTCATGAACCAGTTGAAGATCCTGATTATCCCACTTGAGCCTTAAGCTCTCCAACTTTCTTTTCTCCTTAATAATCCGATGACATGGCCTGACAGTCCAAAGCTTCGCCTCTAGCACAACTAGACCGCTCGCTTGAAGCAGTGGACGGCTGTTGGATGAACCACTCCCCACACACACACAAACAAC